AACAGTCTGAACACTAAAGTGTGCCTGATGTGCTATGGTCTTTCCAATTTCTTACTATTTATCTGAGAGTTGAACAAAGAAAAAACTTGACAGAATGATGCCTTTGAGTGTGGTGCTGGAGAACAGTACTGAATATCCCAAGATGTGGGAAAAAAAAAACCCCAAAAACAAAAACCCAAAAATACCCCACCAAACAAACAGAAAACCCCAAACAGGTATGTCTTCGTGAAGGTACAGCCAGATTGGTCCTTGGAAGGAAGGATGGTGAAGCTTTGCCTCATCTACTTTGCAAAGGGACATCATGCTTGGAAATGTAGTCACCAAACAAGAAAGACCCTCAAGGAGATGTGTTGACACAGTGACTCAAGCAATGTCTCAAGAATGCCAGTTGATAAAGGCATGGGATGGGACATGGTTCAGATCTGTTATTCACAGTCCATAACCATCGCTTGAGTCTAGGGCACCCTAGTTTTCAAACTGACATCACTGCTCCTCAGTACATTGGAGAGGTCTTTGAACTTCATCTCATATACTTTAAGCATGTTGTAGGAGGGACTCTTCCTTGGAAGGGGACATTAAGCTTGGAAGGTGGTGGGTTAGTGAAGACGAAGACCCTTGACGAGGACTGATGCAGTGACTCCAGCAAAGGCTCCAGAATTTCAGTTGATGAGAATGCTTCAGGACAAGGTTCAGAGTCACTGAGTCATATTCCTCTGGACAGCAGATAACATAACAATCTCACATGTATGTGATGTACTGCCTCTGAAAGCCCACTGCAGAGTCAGCTATGAGTCATTTCCAACTCAACAGTACACAAGAAGTAGGCTACAATTCAGGTGGTTGTTATGTGCCATCGAGTTGCCTGTGACTCATAGCGACCCTATGTACAAAGGCCTAAAACCTGCTTTATCCTGTGCCAACCTTGTTGTCTCTGACACACCTACCCCTATTACCCCAGTAACTGAGTCAATCCATCTCATCAAGGGTCTTCCTCTCCTGCGCTGTCCCTCTCCAAGGACTGGTCCCTCCTTGCAACATGTCCAAAGTATGTCAGACAAAGCTTCAGAATCCTTGCCTCTAAGGAGCAGCCTGGTCTCCTCTCTAGGACGAACCTGTTTGTTCTCCTAGAAGTCCGTGGTATATTCAATACTCTTTTCCAACACCACAATTCAATTCAGGTAGAAAACCAAATACAATTCTTCAGTCAAGACAGTTTCTCAGGTATGCTCACAAACCTTGTATCTTCAACTTCACAGATCTTAATGCTGCTAATTACGTTACTTCCTGCCATGCCACTTCGGTCCTCCAGCATGGCCCCCAGTTCTAGCCCTAGTGCTGTGGGGTTGATGTTATGTGCTATTGAGTCGTCCGCGACTTGTAATGACCGTAAGTAAGACAGCTCTGAACCCTGCCCTATTCTGAGCCAGTCTCACTGACTCTGACAAACCCAACCCCACTGCTTCAATTACCATGTCAATCAATCCACCTCATCTGGGTTCTTCCTCTCCTGCATTGTCCCTCCACCCTTCCAAACATGAAGTCCTTCTCCACGGACTGTTCCCTAGTGGCCATGTGCCTGAAGTATGTGAGGCGGAGCTTCAAAATCCTAGCTTCCAAGGAGCAGTCACCCTTTTGTCAGTCAGTCCTTGGCTGTTGTTGCTAACACTCTCTAGATCTTAGTCTGCCTCAAAGGGGAATCTCTGGTCCAAACGGACACTTGAAACACTCTGCTTCCTTCTTGCTAGTATCAAATTTCCATTTTCTGCTGTTAAACTGGTTCCATTTATCCCTGATGGGACATCAAAACTGACCAATCCCCTCAACAGTAGTCACATACCCTGTTTGCTTGTTCACATCATTCTCATAGTGCCAGAAGACAAAACAGTGGCTAGAAAGTCATCTGACTACAATTTCTTACCATTTATAAAATCTTATTATCTAATTATTACTTATAAATGACTACTATGCACTTCATTTGCTTATAATGAGTACTGTGAAGCTTTTCTTATTAGTGCCAAAAGGGAAATAGATGGGAGGTGCTGCATCTGAGTAGATTCTCCTTGGCTCATGAGGGTATCAAGAGGGTAACATGCTCCTGTGACAATGGTCATAAAGCTTAGGGTCCCACAGAAATTAGGATGCTTAACTTTTGCTCAGGTATTGCTGGATTTCTACCACCACTTGAGAAATCTTACATTAGAGCAAGCAATGTGATTGCATTTTAGGGAATGCTTACAAATATCAGACTGAGTTCCTATCAAGCTTTGCTTATGAAGACCACATTCTTGTATGGTGGGGCCAGAAGGTAATTTAAATATTTACAAGGCTTAAAATCTCTGCTCTTGTTTCTTGAAAGTCCATTTCCCTATAAAATGTACTCAATTTAAAAGAATAAAAATTCAATGTAAGCAATTGCCTCTTTTGTTAACATAAATATAAAAACCGTAATAGCAGATTACTACATTGAACTATTTTATTAAAATGCTTCATGGAAGCTTTGCTCCCTACTTCCTAAGAAGCAAAAGTATGTTTGGATCTTTCTCCTCAATAGAAGAAGGTTCTTGCAGTTCTTCAGAAGCAAGTAAAACACAAATCCTATAAGGTAGTTAGTTTTCTTCTAACAAAATAAAAATATTTGGGTATTTTATACTTAGCACAGCTTAGCAATCCAGTTTCTGTTCATGCATTTGGTTAACTGTTAGGAGGTACATTATATATACACATAACAACAAAAGAATCCAATAGACAGCAGATATTTTAACTGAGATTAAGGACAAATGTCTGATTTAATCTTTTCCTTGTATTTTTTGAAGAAGATATTCCATCTGTAGATTCAAATTTGGCTGGCCCTTTTTAGTTTTTTTGCTAAGTATTTTGAATACTTCCATTTTCTTCTTTTTGTAGAGCCTTTGAGCTTCTTCACGTTCTTGTTTTCGCCTTTCAAATTCCTGAAATTAACACATATGATTTTCATTATAACAAACTGCTGATATAGGTCAGAAGTTATTTTTTCTAACAAGCTACCAAAATGGAAACTTTAAATCTCATATTCTGAAAAATATGATTTCCTGCTATGAAAGCCATATATGCCATTTTCACAATGTAACATATTATAAGTAATGAAGCAATTTTAATTAACAGTAGGTGAATAATGAAAAGTTTTATTTATATAATTATTTCACTATTAAATTATATCTATGATATTTTATCTTTAGCTGCCAATTTCAGCTGTTCAATTCCGTGTATCAAGGTGCTGTGGCTATTTCATTATAGAGCTAGAGAGAGCTCTGGTGGCAAAAAACTGCACTGCAATAACAAAGGCATGCAGTTCGAACACACCAGCTGATTTCTGTTCTCTGAAAACCCACCGGAAGGTCTGCTACGGATAGGTTTCAGCTTAATAATAAACAACAAAAGAGCTAGAAGGTAGTACAGTTTCATTTTCACCTAGTGCTAAAATATTCCTTTTCAGAAAGTCGTATCTAGTATTCTTGTCATCCGACCAATTCACAAGTTTAATTTAAGAAAGATATATGTCTATATATGGTCAACAGATTTTGCTAAACATCTTGATTTTAAATAATGAAGACATTATCAAGCTTATTTGTTATGTTAAGATAAAGACAAAAAAATATATTTTTAATATAGAAAAAATACATGTTATATATTAAGTGGAAATACAATAAATGTACTACATTTTCAAACAAAATGTAAAAGTTAAACAAAAGTGGATTTGTTTTGATTTCCACTGCAACCACATATAGTCATAAAATAATATGTATTTATGGTGATTTATTGCTTAGAAAATGCTTTTACAAATGCCAGCCTACTCCATTCTTTAAAAAGTTATGAGATTAGTATCCTTATTTTATAGATGACCTGACATAGTGATACAAAAATGACTTGCCCAGTATCTCAGATTACTAGTGAAAGTAAGTCTCATATTTGTGTCTTGAATTCAACTCTGTGTAATTTCCCATTTTACTATGAACTAATGCTTAAAACTATTTAGTCTCATAATATTAAAAATGAAAATATTAATGAATAAAATATTAATAATAGGTAATAATGCTTAAAACTATATATTCTCAGAGGGTTAGATCAAAGTCTAACAAACTACGCAGCCAAAATCTAAGATAGCCATGGAGCTGCTTTGTCTTGTCACCAGTTTAAGAAACATCATAAAAACCTGAGATGTTAAATTTTCCAATTTCTTAATTACACAAAATCTAAAGACTTGGTAAAACAGTAGATTAAGCATTCGGCTGGTAAGAATAAGGTCAACAGCTCAAATCTACCAGCAACCTGATAATGAGGGCAAAATGAGCGAGTCTTGTCTCATAAAGATTTAAAGCCGCAGAAATCCTGTCGGGCAGTTGTCTGTCCTACCGGGTTACTAAGCCCAAACTGACTCGACAGCAGTGGTTAGTGTGAGCGCTACTGGGTAAAATGTGGAAGGAGTTTTCCACTAGCTGCTCTGCAGGAAAAAGATAAGCAATCTCTTCTTGTATGATTTGCAGTCTCTAAAATAATCTTTGGGAGGGTCAGTTGTGAGTCAGTTCAACTTGAAAGCTCTCAGTGAGTAAATGAGTACCACCTAGAAACCAACTCTGGGTTTCTGAATGATAACCAAGAACTTTCCACTAAATCATATTTGTAGGCTTTTCAAATTTCAATATTTTCAAATTTTCAGTATTTCTTTTTAAGAAGACCAACTTTTTACAGTAAGGAAGTATTTTAAATGTTGTAATATTTTCCTCTTTGGCTTACTTATGTTAGTGTAAAATTTTGAAAATCTGTCTATATTTTCCTTAGCTCAGTGGTTCTCAAATAAAATTGTCATGAGGTACTGCAGTTAGGGACCTCTTCAAATTATTGAGGAGTAATGATATCAGTTTGAGGACTTCAGACCATAGTCTTTCTGATCACTTGCTATGAATCTGAATAAGGATGACAGAAGAATTGATTCCTTTGAGTTTTGGTGCTGGAGAAAGGATGTTTCTATGGAGAGGGAGCAGCTGGAGTGCTCTTAGGAGGCAAGAATGATGAGGCTTTACTTCACATCCTAGCATGTTGCTAGGAGGGGCTATTCCTTGGAGAAGGACATGATGCTTTGAAGGGTAGAGTGTCATCGAAGGTGAGGAAACTAAGAGGTGGACTGACATGGTGACTGCTGCAATGGGCTCGTGTGTCAGGAAGTGTGAAGATGATGCAGGATAGAATAGGGTTCACAGGGTTACTATGAGTCGTACTTGATGGCACCTAACACGACGACCACCACCACTTGTTCAAAGTGCAACTTCCTATTCATTCTGAGAACCACAAACCTACAAGCACTTGTTATTAATCTTCGAGTTAATTCTATTTTTTATCTAGTAGTATGTCTTTGAAATAACAGAAACATAGAACCTAAATATTGAAAGTTAACTCTGCTCAGATTATTGATTCATTCAACAAACATTAAATGATGGCAATCAATCTTCTTAGAAAGAGAATTCACATGTAGACTTAAAATAATGGAACAGAGCTTAATATTTTAAAACTAAAACTTACCTGCTTCTTAGCAGCACGCTTGGCTTGTATCTGTGCATACTCTTCTTGTGCTTTCTGGTTGGATGTTTTCTTCCTATTTTTCTTTGCAGTGGTAAAGGAGCTTTGTAAGAGAAATGACAACAAAAAAGTCAAAAGGATTAACAACATAATCAAAACTACAACATGCACTTAGGCTGAAGTATTTCTGTAGAAAAATCTCATTAATGCAAACTGGAAAACTAATGCAAAGGGAAGAAATAGAACATTATTTCCAATAATAGTATTTTTGGGGGGGAACTCTTCATTGCCATGGAGTCAGATGATACTACAATTGAGTTTTCAGAGGCTGTAAAGAACATGGGAAGAGAACGCCCATTTTTCTACTGTATAGCACAGCTGGTAGATCTTAACCACAGGCCTCTGGATTGGTAGTACAATTCCTTATCCATGAGGCCAATAGAGCTCTCACAGTTATTACGAATCCTGGAAACAGAAACATTAATAACTTGAGTATCAACCTAAAGGTTGGCTGTTCAAATTCACCACCCATTCTGCTAGAGAAAAGACTTAGTAATGTACTTTCATAAATATTACCATTAACACGTTGCCGCAAATGACGGTAATACATAGAAAAAAAAAATGTGTTTCTAAGCACAGTCATCATTAAAAGTGTGCAGCAACATGTTAAGAAAACTCTATAGGACACCCTCAGGAAAAAAATGGACCAAGTTGGATAAATAGTTCAGTCAGGTAAAATACAGACAGCTCTGAGACTCTTAAAAGTGTTTAAACAGAAACTTAAAAGCAAGTTTTGAAAGAGAGGCTGAAAAAGCATTAAATTGAAGAATATTGATACTAAAGCTGTTAAGTGTACTTGAACTTAAATCTCAATCTACTCTACCATCTTATCTCTATTCAAGTCTGTCTACCCAGTCATGAGTGACAAAACCTTAACCATAATCTCGGTTATACACGGGTACTGCAACTACGTACTGCTAACAATTCAACTCAGACTTACGATGACTCTAGAGAATATACAGAAAATCCAGAGGGCTTCCTAGACTGTAAATCTTTATGAGAGGAGAGCACCACTGTTTTATCTCATGGAGGCGCAGGTGGATTTGAATTGCAGGACCTACAGCTGCCAAGTGCTTTAACCACTATGCTGCCAATACTCCTCTAAGAAAGGCAGAGTGGGAAGGGGGTTGCACTGCCAACCCAAAGGCAGATAGTTCAAATCCACCATCTGCTGCAGGGGATAAAAATGGGTAATCTCCTTCTGTGTGCTTTACAGCCCCTGAAAATCCTCCCGAGTTAGCTATGAGTTGGTTATGATTTGAAAATAAAGAACATTTAAAAAAAGAAAAGAAGTTTCCAAAAGGAAAAAGGAACCATACTTCACTGTTTTGTTCCATTCTTCTTTTCGTGGTGACTGATCAAGGTGAGGATGTTCGTCAGACAAAACCTCGTCAACGCTACCCTGCTCTTCTGGGAATGGCTGGTCAACCTTTTCTTCTGATAAAGACTGATGAGCTTTTCTACGCTGCTTTCTGAGCCTTTCCTCTTCTGCTAAATAGAGATGTTTCAGGTGATCTGGGTATCGATCTGTGAACTGGGATTCCTGAGGCGTCTGAGCGAGCTTCTTCTTCCATAGTAATTTCTTGTAATTTTGCTGAATCTTCAGCTTTCTCCGAAGTGCAAAACCTTGTCCTACATGGCGGGGGGAGAAAAAGTGACTTTCACAAAGAGATTATTTTCACTAAAAAAGCAGCTATTCGCTTAAAAAGTAAAAACTTCTTTTTTTCTTTAAAAAGTTTGTTTCCAGAAACAAACTCAAGTTGATGGGTTGACTAGCAAACAGATGAGACTAGTGCTGATCGATACTGCCACTCTATTAAAGTCTCAACACAGATCAATCCAATTCTTTATTGTACTCACAAATGTAAACAAATGCTTTATTTAAATTACTTAATCTGGATCTTAAACATTTTTAAATAGAGACAAATCCACATCTATTCTTTTATCTCAAGGAAACGTGTGACAGATGTTAGAAAATTCTTCCGCAAGGAAGTAAAAAGATGCTATGCTAACTCAAAAACAGCTAGCACCACATCAAACCAAGTCAGTATTTCTTATATCTGAAATGCAATTTAAAGTAACTTAAGGATAGCACAAAAACGAAAGAAAAAAACCACACGAGATGACTGGAGTGCTACTTGTAATAAACAAGGAGTGTGGACAGTATTTTAACCCAAAGGTCCTTATCCCCAAGTGCATCGAAAAAGGGGTCTGGCGATCTGCTTCTGAATGGTCACAGCCCTGAAAACCATACTCTGCACGGGCGAGGTCACCCTAAGTCAAAATCTACTGAGGCCACCAGACCCCATCATGTACAATACATAATGAATACATACACAAACACAATAAACACAAAATTAGACCCGAAAACGCTCTCTGATTTGGAGTAAAAAACCTAAAGGAAAATTAGACTAAAGGTCGAGAAGACGTTTAAAGAGTTACGAGTAATGCCCGTCTTCTCTTCTAGAGTTCAACGAACGTTACGTCAATGGGCTTATAAACAGATTTCTGTAATCAAAACTTTTTAAAACCTTCTTCTGTGCTTCAGCTGGTCGTGAGTCTTAAAAACCTGGTTGTTGTTGAGTCGGCACCGACTCACGGCTGACCTCCAGTGGGTTTTCAGAGGCAGCAAATTGCACAGGATGAGACTGCCCGTCTTTCTCCTACGGAGCAGATGGTGGATTCGAACGTGTGTTCGGCGGGCAGCACGGTCCCTTAACCGTAAAGCCACAAGAGCTTCTAAAACCCCGGGAAAATGTCAAAAGGCTGTCGTTTTACGTACCTTCATGGACGCTTCCCACAAAAGCTTTCGGATGATTTGCTTGCCACCGCCTCTGCTTTGCATTTTTATTCTTGAATTCAACCTGAGACCCAGCATCGCCTCGCATCCCCCAACTCCCCGCATGCCGGCCTGCCGCGGGCTTCACCGGCGCCATGGCCGACCACCGCCTCCCCAGACTATGACAGTGACGCTGGCAAAATACGTCACCAAGCCAAAACAATCCATTGCCTACGTAGAGTCTCTCAGAGCTCGATTTATCACGCCTGTGCTGCCCTGGGCCTATTCCCCTCAGCCCGGCTACGTTTGCGCCACCTACAGCACAGGAGGCTAAGCGTCATGGCGGCTTCTAGCCCACTCCCGCAGACTCCGGACCTGGCCACGCTGCATGCCAAGCTGCAGGGGCTGCTGCGGTTCTTAAAGGATGCCCTTTCCATTGCCAATGCACATACGGTAGACTTCTACACAGAATCTGTCTGGGATCAGCTGGTCGACTTGACCCCGGAGACAGTCCTGGCTACGTTGAGATCAGCGGTAGAAGTAAGGCTCTCCGAGGCGCGCCCCCGCGTGGCAGAAGAGGGGCAATCAGGTGAGCCGCATAGTGGGAGGGCGAGCAGCATGGCGGGAGCGTGAGCCAGCCGGCCGAAAAGATCCCGTCTTGCAAGGCGCGCCTCCTAGTGGAACCGGAGCGACTTACGAAGGCGGAAGGGGGCAACCTCGTTAACACCGAAAGGGAGAAGTGCTGGGGTTTCAGTGTCACCAGTGCACTTTTTCTGGGATATCGCCCTCACTTCTTGGGTGCTTTTATATTTCTAGGATTTTAAAACACATCGGTTAGGAAAATGCATTCATTTGGCGATTTAGCATTGCTTTAACTGAAAGGCAAAAAAGGGAATAGTGCTCTTGCTAAGCTTGCAGATTTCTAGTTAGAAACGTGACAGAAGAGAAATCTTCAACTAACCAAAAAAACTGGGTAACTTCAGCTGGTGAAAATGGCCAAGAATGAAAAAAGACAGTGTAATGCCAGCCGACTGATTTCGTGTAGGCTGCTTGAATGCCAGCCTGCAGGATTTCAGGCTGCCAGTACCACTGAGGCCCACAAGTGACAAGGGACAGGGCTAGGTGCAGTTTTGGAAGAAAGCTGGAGTCCCTAGAGTCAAGTGAGGGCGAGCAGGTACTGGCCCCATCCTGCACAACTTTAAAGCGTGTTTTTACAAGGAGTTGTTGTCTTGTGATCTTGGGTCAGAACCAATCCATAGCTGACCCTCCAATGGGTTTTCACTTCGGAGAAGATTGCCTGTCTTTCTCCAGTGGAATAGCTGGATTCCAGCCATGTGCCTTTGGGTTGGCAGTACCCCTCCTAACCACTGGGCCCTAAGTGTGATCTAAAACAATCGAAGCCAGTTAAACAACAAGGTACTGAAGTTTTTGTTGTTAGATACTGTCCAGTCAGTTCTGATTTAGACCTGCTTTAGAGGTCTAGTGGCCTAGTGGTAAGAAGCTGCACTTTAATCCCAAAGGTATGCAGTTCTAATCCACCAGCTCCTCCCCTGCGATTGATTTACTACCTCTGAAAACTGTCAGATACTAGTTCTGACTTGCAGCACACACAACAAGTTGCAAGAGAAGGAAGCATCGCCCAGCCCTGCACCAGTCTCACAAAGGATCATTAATTAATTGATCTTTAATGGATTAATAACAAGCACAGAGTCAGTCCGTCTTTTTTAAGGGCTCCCTCCTTTTTGCTGACCCCGCTTTTTTACCCTCTGGTTGGAAAGTATGGTGTTGGTGAGAGAAATAAGGTTTTCGAGCACATATTAGAATTTTGTAAGACTAAGAATTATTCATTTTAAGTACTTTTAAAAAGAAATCTGAGGAAGGATCACTAAGAATCAGAATTGACTGGATGACAATTAACTAACAGCTGTGTTACCAATGTCTGGTGACCCAGTGATTAAGAATTTATGCTGCCAAGCCGAAGGCAGGCAGTTGGAGTCCACCAGCAGCTCTGCAGGAGAAAGATGGGCAATCTCCTCGCTGTGATTGTTGTTATTGTTGGTAAGTGCTGTCATGTCAAATATAATTCATAGCGACACTATAAACAAAAGATCTGATCCCTGTTCTATAACTATCATAATTTCACTGATGTTCATAGAGTTTCCAAAGGCGTGTTGTTTAGGAAGTGGATGCCAATCCAGCTCCCAAACCTATCTTAATCTGAGAGCTCTACCAAACCCTGTCCACCATAATGGTTACTCATTATGGCTTTTGACATACCAGTGTCACAGTGTTCAGTATCAAACCAACCCTAAGTCATCTCAGTACAGCAAACTGCTAGATCAATGCTGTACAGTTAAAATGTTCTTCCCAATCATAATTAACACCATGCCCAAGGTTACAGGCCTGAGGGCTCAACCAACTTTTAAATACAAAGGCCTGCCCTCCCGGGTCCTGTTTGACTTAAACAAGAGGACTCCAGTGCAAAGCTGATTGTTAGTTAGCTAAATCCACAGGAAGCAAAACAAAAAACCCCAACCAACCGTTTACACTCAACTTCAACTAAAACAAGAGAACCTACCCTCCAGACACCATCTGATTCACACATGAGCCTCCAAACTACAGCCTTAAGCAGGGCTCAACTGACAGTTAAGTAGGGCCCAACTGACTTACATAAACAAAAGTAAGTACCTGTGATGACAGCTTCTCAAAACTCATAGGAGGAGGGTCAGCTATGAGTCTGTTCCAACTCAGTGATAGATAACAACAACAACAACAACTTTACCAAGTATGATGCCCTTTTCCAAGGAATGATACCTCTCTCTCACTTGTTAGCATGTTCAAAGTATGTGAGAGATAGTACTGCCATTCTGACTTTTAAGGAGCATTGCTGTTTCTTCCAAGATTTGTTTATTCTTGGGGAGATTCTTGGTACGTACAAAATTCTTTACCACCATTATGATTCAGAGGCATAGACTCTTCTTCAATCTTCCTCATTTATTAACCAGGCTTTGCATCTGCATGACATGATTGAAAATGTCATGGTTTATGTCAGGGCACCTTAATCCCAAAGTGAGGATTTTTGTACGTAATTCTGGTATGTGTCTGTCAATATAATCGATTCTACTAAGTGACAGTATGGATGGATGTGATACATTCAGTCATTGTCTCTCAGTGTCATAATCTAATTTATCATTTTAAAAAGGTTCTATCAAATAGTTCACAGATGAAAAAATTGAGGCTTTCTACCAAGTTATTCAGTCTAAAATCAAGCAAATGTGCAATCCAGATGCATTAATAATAACTAGTGATTGAAATAGAAAAATTGGAACCAGAGAAGAAAGTTTAGTGGTTGGGATATTTGGCCTTGGTGAGGTTGTGTATAACGTAATAGAATTTTCCAAGACTAATGACTTGTTTGATGACATTGTTGACAACTTCAGTCTTTTCTCTATCCATCTTGATGTTGCCTGTTGGCCCAGTGGTGAGGATTTTTGGTTTTCTTGATGTTGAGATGTAATCCGTCCAAAGGCTGTAGTCTTTGATCTTCTGCAGCAAATCTTTCAAGTATTCTGACTTCCAACAAGCAAGGTTGTGCCATCACATAGTGCTAATGTTGATGAGTCTTTCTCTCATCCTAATGCCACATTTTTCTTCATAAAGTCCAGCTTCTTGAATGATTTTTCTCAGCATACAGATTGAATAGGTATAGTGAAAGGATAGAACCTTTCTTAATTTTACAGCATGCAATATTCACTTCTTTTCAAACCACTGCTTCTTGGTCTCTATATAAGATTTTGCACAAGTGAAATGAAGTGTTGTAGAATACTTATTGTTTTCAATGTTAGCTAATTTTTTTTGTATTTTAAGAAAATATATTTTATTCTGGCGTGCTATAGTAAAATAAAAAGGTAAACAGATAAAAGAGTGGAGGTCTTGGTCAGCTGATAGCCCAGCTAAGGCCCAAACTCCTGAAAGTTACATTTGCAGAAAGAGCAACTTACATTTATTTTAGTCTACATAGTCTAATGCTTTTGCATAGTCAATAAGATGCAAGTAAGCATTTTTATGGTGTTCTCTACTTTTAGTCAAAATCCATTTGACATCAATAATAATAATATCTCTTGTTCCATGGCCTTTTGTGGATCTAACTGAATTCCTGGCAGTTCTGTGTCAATGTACTATTGTAGTTATTTTTCAGTAATCTTCAGGGACATTTTATTTGTATGTGATATTAATGCTTTTGTTCAATACTTTTTTTTAGGGATAAGAATAAGCATGGACTATTTCCAGTTGGTTCACTAGGTAGCTCCTTCCAATTTTTTTGGCAAAAACGGTTTGTGTTGTGAGGTACTGTTGAGTCAAATATGGCCCATAACGATCCTATGAACAACAGAACTGACCCCTGCCCTATCCTCTGCCATCCTCACAATTTCTAACACACTCGAGCTTCAAAATCCTAGCCAACAAGGGGAAACTTGGTTTCACCCTCTCCAAGACAGAAATATAGACTCGTTTTCTTGGCAGTCCATGGTACGTTCAAGACTCTTCTGCAGCACCACAACTCACATGTGTCAATTCTTCATCTATCATCCTTAGTCATTATCCAACTCTCTTTAGTACGAGCAGTAAGGAAAAAAAAAAAAAGAAAGACTTACTGTACTGGGGAAATCTGCTGCCAAGGACCTCTCCAAGGTACTGAAGAGCATAGTGCCAGATTAGACTAAGGTGTGCCTGATCCAAATCATGGTCTTCAAATATTTGCTAAAGATAGCAACTGAAGAATCAATGCCTTTGAGTTGTGTTATTGAAGAAGATTACGAAATATCCTATGGACTGCCAAAAGAACCAACAAATATGTCTTGGAGAGAGTGCAGCCAAGGTACTTCTTAAAGGTAAGGATGGTGAAACTTTGTCTAATATACTTTGGACCTGTTGTTAGAAGGATCAGTGCTTAGAGAGAGACATCATGCTTGGAAAGGTGGAGGGTCAGTGAAGAACAGGACTTTCAACAAGTTGGATTGAAGTGTAATAATGGGCTCAAATATAATGGAGATGATAAACATGGCAAGGAGAGGTCAGGGTTCAGCTTTGATATTGATGGGGCTGCTGTTACTGGTAGTCTACTAACAACAGCAACAAAAACAGCATATATTTATTGTCTGTGAGAATGCCTGTTTAATAAATAATATCGTTAATAAGTATTATAGTGAATCAGTGCCACCACATATTTGTCCTCTTAGGTAATGTTTAACGTATTCGTATCTTTGGAGAAATCTAAATGGCTCAATTTATATCCATATAATAGAAATTATATCAAAACTGAAAGTTTACCCTTGAAATGTTTCTGACTGTAAACTTTATTGTTTTGTTTTTCTGTTGCTATAAATACTTGGTTATACAAATAGATTCCTTTATTACCAAAAAAAATACATTTTTGCTTGTCATGACTCTTCCTGTTTTCATTTAAACATGAAGACATTTTTCTTCATTGCTGCATTAGATACATGGTCAGGGATGCTGAAATCATTTGATCATATTTCTATAATATCAAACATTGTTATTGATCTTATACAACTTATTAGAATAATC